ACCCAGATATGAAGTTCAAGAATTACTGATGTTCTTCATTCATGTTGGCAGGAATTACAGTTGGATGGTTTTGCTCACAGTGAACCCACTTATAGATGTATTGAGCTTTTTTATAAGCTATTTCACATTCAAGAAACACTTTGAATTACAGATATGAGACACCCATAAAGCACACCAACGATAGCTCTATGCTGTCATTCTTAGACGAAGCCCATCAATGTGCAACAACACTGAATGATCTAAGTAATAAGTCGATCACAAGCACAACATACAAGATAGCTTTGGCGACAATCAAAAGCATCAAGGTTTTTAAAAACAATGCGTGAATCCAGGTTCATCACGACTATCTTACCTGTTGACCTATAAGTTAAGCCAGAATAAGTTTGACCTCATTTTTGCTTGTGTCAGGTCACTAAATGGTATTAATAATAAGCCAACCAAGGGGATGCTGCTGAGGCATGATGTGCAAGAAATTGGAAACTGTATTTCACTGGACATGACAAAGATCTTATAGGTAGCTCAAACAATTAAATCATTGAGAGTTGCAGTGGAATACCAGTTTCAGGATGTCCTGGTTTTTAATTGCTACAATACTTTGCTCTCTGCTGCCGAATTAGATTTTGATTTTAATGTTGTCTCGAACACTCCTGCTCTATCACTTGAAGCATTTGCAGCATTTTGAGGCATTTTTACGTTATTTTCAAATGCTTCAAGAAATGAGAGATATAATTTCATAAAATATGAAGGAAAATATGAGGAAAAGTTGGGCACATCTAATGAATGCATACCAGGAGCTACACAACGATGCTTGACCAGGAAAGGATATATATATATATGTCAAGTATAAACTAAAATGCATTCCAGGCTTATTGAAAATCAAATGTTTACATTGTCTTTAGACCGAAGCCACAGCAGTAGAGAGAAAGCTATGAAAAAGTTTATATTAACGTCATTAGAGAATGGACACAACTTTCATAAAAGGAATTAGCAAGGAAATCAGAAACTCTGGCCGGAACATTGATCTGAAGAGGACGAGGAGAATTACATGCAACTAGACTGTCAATTCACTGTTTTCGATCATAATCAGTTGTTGAATTAGTTTTGGTTTTAGGACCGAGAATTATGATGAGTCAACAAAATTCACCCAATTAAGTAACAGATCTATTTGTGAGTTGGATGTGTACATATTTGGAAAATCGTAAGAATACAAAGAAATCCGTATAAAAACCCATGTTTTTGGGCTAAAAGTCAGTATCCTGGTTCGTATGAAGAAGCTAAACAACCTCCTGCTGGTTGAAGAAAGCTGTTGTTTCCTTATCCAACTACGTCCGAGCCCTAACGTTTCTTGCTCAGCTCCGTATAAGTAACTATTGTTATCTCTCTCAGAGTCGAATAATGTAGTTAGAAATTGAATGTAAAGTGTTTAATATTAAAGAATTAACGAAAGTTATGTTTGAGTAGTTATCAATCAATGTGTTAATTGATAACTTACTGGTAGTATTAACTAATTTAATGAATATTATAGAAAGTTTAATTGAAATACATTTACCTGCTCAGATTGAAGAATTTAATAGTTTTAACAATGGAACGTTTCAAGATACCTTCTATATTCTCGATGTAGCCGAGTATCTTAATATATTGAATTAAAGTGTTGTTTGTGGTTTGAATCTCAGTCTCCGAATCAATTTTTTATTCTAATTGTAAACTTCTTCGAGTTAGTGACTTGTGTTCTCCACTGACGAATGTAAACCTGGATTTTATATAAATCTTTTGTTAATTGGATTTAAGTCGAACTCCAAACGACTACCCTACACGGTGTTCCACGTTTTACACATTCTACAAGAAAGATGTTGTGAGGTACGTTGCCGGATTTGTGGTTCACATGTTAAACAAAAGGATCCACTGTCTTGAGTGTCAAGTAGCATTGACAGCAGATGAGTGTAGAGACAATGAGCCAGGCCACACTAATTTATATCAAAGCCAAAGGCGGACTTATCAAGCCCTCGCAAAGTATCATCAAGACTGTGAAAGATATTTCGAACATATTTTGATTTCAACGGATTCAGTTCTGCCCTCGGGACCTAGAATCCTGTCCTTCATAACTCTCATAGTCCAAGCGGAGGTTGGATATACTACCTTCAGTGACGTACACCAGCACGTGCTTGATACAGAGCCCAATAACAATCATATATTTGCCTTAATGAAGCACATACATGTATCTTTGTGCTTATCTATGATGAGGCTGCATTAATTAGCCAGGTCATTCACAGACACTGCCACTGTTGTATATTTTTTTTTTTCAAAACACTAGTAACATTTTGTTGGTAAGTACATGTAATTGTATTTACTCACAGACTCATTATCTACACAAAAGTTGTTTATATAGGTCCTCAGGCTAAAATATTAAGTGCTTGCAGAGGTAGAGTAAAATGAAGTTTGTTTTTTATGATTATTTCAGAAAACTCGTTTGTAATTTAATTGAATGTTTTTTATCAGTACATACATATTAGATTGTCGAACAGAAAAGTTTATTTATTATTAAGGGATTGCCTTTTTCTAAAAACAAACTTTAACTGCAATAGCCAATGCAGTAGGCTATAAAAATAACAGAATCAATGAGATTAGGTACGTATTATGCTATTTAATGGTTATTAATTTTTGTTTAATGAAAAGCATAATAAAAAATTATATTCATATATGTTACTTATGTTTGCATCATATTTGCTACTCCCCCTCCGATGGGACAGCAGTAACTTTACAGACTTACAAAGCTTAAATCTGGGGTTCGATACCTCACGATGGACGTAAAGATAATCCAATGTGACTTTGCTCAAAACTAACAAATTACAACAAGAGCATCATATTTTGTTAATAAATTTGAACTTATTGTTTGTTTGCTTGATATTAAGCACAAAGCTACACAATGAACTATCTGTGCTCTGCCCACCACGGGTATCGAAACCCGGATTCTAGGGTTGTAAGTCCACAGACATACCGCTGTGCCACTGGGGGGCTGAACTTATTGTAAAATCTGTAACTTGTAATAGTGCCTGTTTTTCTTTCGATATGTGTTTATGAAACCACACTTTATATGTGTGATAGAAATGAATAAAATCCTATAACCCGAGCGCTTTCGATAGGTGTACCTTTCTTCTTCAGGGGCAAACTGGGAATGGTGGTTCGTTCGTTTAGCATGGTAGGAATTTAGGATAAAAGTATATTTCATTCCTCTTCGGGGAATGAAATATAACCAGGGGCGGTCAGAAACTTCTCTTTCTCTTCACCCAATTACATAATTAGAATTAGCGGCCGGGGCTCTTACGAATTAAATGCTTACGTGAGTGAAGGTCTTGACAGTTAATTTTCCTAGTGGCGAATTCACAAGTTGAGGGAAGAGCTGAGATGAGACGTGGAGAAGAAGAGAAAGAAGGAGACCTTTGCTGAGTTGAGTGTTGTCTTCGGAAATTTCCTTTTTTCGGCGAGACCTGTGCGTCGTATGACCACGTGGCGTCGGGCGTTGCAGAGCTAAGTGGCGTACAGCAGAGCAGGGAGATGCAGATCGAGTGCGTCCGTTGTTGTCTAAAGTGCTGAGAGTAAACTGGTTAAAGAATTGAATGAGTGATGTATATATAAAGGGAGTTTAGTGACATCATGAGGGCCATCCGGTTTTCCAGGAAATGTTTAGTCTATTTCTCTATGTACTGTTGTAAGCATCTCATTTCCGGTACAATGTGGCCGATGGCGAGAGTGTATGTGAAAAGGTGTTAGGGATATTTTACTTTAGAAATGGATAAATATATGTATATTTAAAACTATACTTAAGTGTTTAAGTAAAATAAATGTGACACCTGGAGACTGATTGAAAAAGATATGTTATGTTAATTTATAAAAACTGGTATGGAAAATGATCTTAAATAAATAGTAAGTTTTAGAAAATTCA